CCGTCAAATGAAAAAAAAAATAAACCAAAAAACATTAAAGTATTGTTAATGTTTTCAAATCTTTTCTTTTGCTAATTAGATATCAGATGAGACACGAAAAGTCATTGTTAGGTTTATTAATTTTTGTTTCTTATTTTTCTTTCTCTTTTACTCTTTTTACGTACATAGCATATGTTTTCTATTTAATTAAGCCATATGAAAATGATGAATTTTATTAAGATTTTTCGTTGCCAAAACATTTGGTTAATGAAATTATTTAAATTTAAAATTATATGAATTTAGATTTAAAAATTAGCAGTTCCTGTTGTCAAAATTTGATGAAATGACATTTAAAAGTTACTATATACGTAAATATTAAATAATTGTGTGACTGTAACAATAACGTTGTAAGTAAATTCATTGCTTGCAAAATAATCCATGCTATTTTACCTAATTAAAACTATATTAATATTCAAAAATGGCAGCCCATCTTAATGAAATAAATAGTAGTTGCCACAATTACGAATGTCACAATTCCGAAATTCCTCCGAAAACTCATTTTTTTCATATTTTAATTAATATTCTCGATATATATTTATCAATATCCGAGAAATTTGAGCAAAACTCAAAAAACCATAAGTTTTCTCAAAATTCAAAAAATTATAAGTTAAGCAATCGACCGAACACACAGGTGAATAAACGGACAAAGAGGAATTAATGAGAAACCATAGAGGGCAAACTGAATTGTTTAAGAAATATTTTAAAATTTGATTACAAATTATTCCAAACTAAAACTGCTTTTTAATAAATATTGATTAAAAGTAGTAATTGAATGAGCTGCATATAAAAGCAGCAGCGGTCGGTCTGAAAATAAATACGAAAATAACCAAATCCCTCCGAATCAACGCAGCAAACACTATCCCCTTCATCATAAATATAGCCGCTATACGGGATGTTAAGCAATTTAACTACCTCGGCAGTATAATATCGACAACCGGAGGGGTCAAAGAAGATGTTGAAAATAGACTAAAGCATGCTAAGGCGGCATTCGGCAGATAATGGACCATACGGAAATCCTCACACTTATCCAGCAATACAAAACTGAGAATATTCAACACGTGTGTGAAGCCGGTCCTGTTGTATGGCTCCGAAACATGGCTAGTGAAAAATGAATACACAAATAAAATGCAGGTATTCATAAGTGGGAGCCTAAGGATCGTCTGCCGTGTATTCTGGCCCAGACGAATCAACAGCACAGACCTCTGGGCTTTAACCCACCAAGAACCAATCGCAAAGGTTATAAAGAAGAAAAAATGGGGATGGATAGGTCATATATTGCGACGCCCGCCTGAAACCATCGCAAAACAAGTATTGGAGTGGAATCCGCAGAGTAGAAGAAGTGTTGGACAGCCAAAGAATTGATGGCAAAGAACAATAAAGAAAGAAATCGCCATGGCTAAAATGACATGGGCAGAAGTAAAAAGAATGGCCTCTAACGTTGGAGAAGCTTTGTGGAAGCCTTTTGCTCCCAAGGGGAGTAAAGCAGGAACAAAAACAAAAAAAAAGAAATTGATTAAAAGTATTGATAGTTTCTCACAAAATATAAAAAAAAAATTAATCACCCACGGACGCCAGAAATACTAAATCCAATCCTGAATTTCTTTATTACATCCTTAAGCGTATTGAGACTCACCTATATTTTCTATACAAAATTTAATTAATAAGAATTTTTAAGAAGTAAAAAAAAAATAATTTTCTTAATGTTTACAATCGCTATTTACATTTCAATCAATGAAAACTAGGTACTTAAAACAAAATTGCAAAAAAAAAAAAATTACATAATATTTAAACTAACTTCAAATTGACGCTTAATTTAACAATTCGTTTACCATTAACATAAAACATAAAAAATTAAAATACAATATAGAAAAAAATAAAATATAGCTTGTTATCCGAACAATAGATTCTATAGATTTGAAAATTAAGACTGCCTGTTTAACTACAAAGTCATTAAATTCTACATAATGTATGTATATTGTAAGCAAACAAGTATGCGTGTGCATATATTTTGTATATATACATGTTACTCATAGAAAAATATTTTAAGACAAGACAAAATTTTATACTCTGGATCTAATTGAAAAAAAACCAAAAAAAAAAAATTTTTATTTTTTTTTTCTCAATTTTCCCACACTTTTCTTTACATTTCATTATTTGCTTTCATATTTGCTCTTTATTGTCATTGTTGTTATTATACTCTGAGTATTTTAGTTAAAATATATATATCATAAAAGAAAAACTGACATTCCTACAAATAAAAACAAAATTTTATGACAACAACTGCAACACAATAGCAAAGAGATGAGAAGTATCAATAAATGATCCTCGCATGCAACGCACGTCTATTTGCATTTCCACCTTGTATTCTTCTTCTAACTTTTGTTTCTTTTTTTTTGTTTTATTGCTGTTTAAATGTCCCATTTTCATATATTTTCAGTTATTATACAATATTATCTCACTTTTACCTGAATTTTACCTATATGTTTGCCTATACGAGAATTTCATAATTTTTTTAATCTACTAGCATAGAAAAATAAAAAGAAGAAAAATTTTCCTAAAAACATCTACCAAAAAATCAAAAAATGAGAAAAAATAAAAACGCACGTTATGTAAACTTCCTATGAAATATTTTTTTTCTCTTTTTCTTTTTGTTTTTGTCTTCTGTTTCTTTCTCTTCATCATATGACAACAAACCTTTTGACATTTTTGATGTAAGATAAGACAGTTAGACAGAATTTTTCAATTGTTTTTTTTTTATTTTTGTTTCTATTTTAATTATTATACTGTTGTTGTGTTGTTGGTGTTGTTGCCTTTGCTATTGCATAAAAATCTTCAGTATTTTGAATATTAATATTCTTGTAACAAATTATTTCTATAAGTTTGCCAAGTATATATACTCTGTTTACTGACTAAGGTAAGTTTTAAAAAGTAATTTAACGTGTTATACACTTAGAAGAGGAATCAACACCTTAATATAATATAATTGTGCATTTACTTTAAACCAAGTATTTACATATCAATCAATTTACGTACGCATACACGTGTATATGGGATTACTTGAAATCCTGAGTGTGATCTTAATTTGTAATACTTTACTCTTGCATTCTCCAGACAAGTTGATGAAAATGAGACCAAACGAACAAAAAATTTTCGAACAATTTCCATTTTTCGACTTGCTAATTTTTAGACATTTAAAATCAAAATTTTTAAAAATTCGAGACCTAGAGTCGTTGCTTGCATTACTTACATAACATTTCTATATAATGGCCCTGTTTAATGATTACCGTAGAAACAATATCAAAAATTTAAGTTTACATCAAAAATGTATATAGATCAAAAATTGAACTAAAAAAGCTATAAAATTTTAACAGGATCTGAACAATTCTTCAGCTTTTTTCTAATTAATCAGAACATTTAAAACAGTAAACTGAATAATCTACTTTATTTTAATAATTTATCGTTTTCTTCACGCCTGAATAATTAATTAAGGCATCAATGTTCCAAAAAAAAAAATCCTCAAACAACATGGCAACTCCATGTAAAAACACTTATAAATTTGTTAATAGTAAAAAAAAAAAGTACATAAAAGAATTCGTCAAAAACTCTTAAATGTCAACAAATTGTCCGTTTTTTTATCAGTAAAGTCACATCAGTGTAAACTTGTAATTATTAATGTATATATGTACACATACACATCTATATATATATACAAAAATGTAGAGAAATTCGATATAAGTACAAAACCTAAGAAAATTAAGATGTAATGTAAAATCGTAAGTGTTATTCATTAGTTTACAAACAGAAATAAAAGGACAAAAACAAAACTGGTGAGATGAAATGATTAGCATAAACCGGTACAGATAAAAATATATTATCGCATACAAAATGTACAACGATAGTCTTCCATATGGAATAAGGTAAGCAGACATATGTCTGTATAGATAAAAAGGAAAATATGTAAAAAAAATATGTATATAGATAAAAAATAGACAGGTTTTCCAAGATTACCAAATGAACATTATCGTATACTCAACTAAAAATAGCAGAAATTTTAAATTAAAGAAATCAAATCATATATGCAGTAAAATGAATTATGTATATAGAAAGGGTAAGTATGTATTTTAAAAAATTTTGAAAGAATTTGTTAACTAAACTTTCAAAACCAGCTTACATTCTATATTGAACAATTTTTTAAACAAAAATTCTCATGTTGCAGGTATAGGTGCAACCTGATGCAGGTATAGGTCAAAACAAATTTTAAATTGCGCAAACAAAAAAAAACACTTTTGACTCGATGGGTACTCCAAAGTTACACAAAATAAAAAAAAAATACGAATTATGTTTTAGATAAGACAGGAGATCGCAAACCTGAACCACTCACACAATTCAAATTGCAATTCGCAAATATAAAATATTTTCTTTTCGCTGTAATTTTGAGTTCTCCGACATATTTATTTCTCATTCTGTCAAATTTTAAGATTCGACTTTTGAAATTATTCGACTTAAATTACAATTTCTCCGAAAGCTCCATTGGTAATCTAATGGTCATTATAAGTTTTGGGGTAATATATCATCACCGCTGTCTTTAATACAACGAATTCTAAAGAAATTTCCGGTGATCCGAATTTTCATCTTAATTCAATAAATAATTGTTTAAAAATATTTAAAAATAAAATGTGCCCCTTATATTCTACATACATGAATATTCTTGTGGTTAAAAGCAAAAACCATTTAAGTCAAATTTTTCAATTTTATCACAATTCCATATTTTCTATACTTCAATTTATACAAATTCACTCAAAAAATTTTTATTTATCATTCACAAATTTAAGTATTCCCAATTATAATTTACTTAAAACTCAATTTTTATTTCCGACTTAGAAAAATTTCTGCTTAAAACCATAAAATTATATAATCGTATGTAAAATTATAATTTATAAATTTTTTTTTTATATTCTTACCTTCCATTTCCAGTTAATGGCATCAAAACAAATGCAAAAAATCCCAATACAATAAACCAATTCATTATCCTTTCTTAATTGAATAGTTATGATTGTTTTTCACAAAAATAAAATTTTTTTATTAAATTTAAAAATGTATTTAAGTAATTTGAACAAATTAACTAAATTTTAATTAAGTATGGTTGAAAATTCAGATAAATTCTAATACATGATTTTATATTGAAATTTCTTATAGTATAGTTTTTTATTTCACGAAAAAAAGAAGTCGTGTGTTGAATTACATTACCGTATTATCCATACCACATTATCAATTTCAAATTTAAAGCAATTCCACTCTATTATTATACATTTAAATGTATGTAAATATTTGTACAAGTATATGTAAATATATGCGTATATATATAAGTTGTACACTTTAGATTCTATATACAAATTTTTATTCATTCAAAATTTTCTTTTATTTTCTCTTTCTTTCTTTCATTCTTCATTTATTTTCATTATTATTTCTTAATTTTTCTCGTTTCTTTCAATTAAATTCTTTTCTCATCATTATCATCGCATCATTAAAATTTCACTTAAAATTTATTTATAATTTTTCTTTTCCTTATTTTCATTTTCATATTGTAATTTAATTTTTATATTTTGTAATATTGTAACTTTTTACTCTGTGTTTTTTTTTTTTTTTACTTTTTCTTAATTTATTTTGATTCTATACAGTGTTTTTCTTTTTTCAGGTACAAAAAATTTTCTAAAAAATCCAAATTTTTACATTTGAAACAATTTCATTTTAAAATTTATAAAATATTTGAGAAATAAAAAACTTTTCTCTTTATTTCAAAACAAGATTCCCTTAAAAAATTTTTATTACATTCAAACAACATTTTCACAAAATCAAATGAAATTGAATTTTTAAATGAAAAATTCAAAACTACAATAAAGAAACAAAAATTCAAGTTAAAAAAAAAGAAAAAAGAAAAAATTGTTCAGAAAATTTTCAAAATTCTTCCTGATAATTTCAACAATTTCTTCACTAATTACAAGTAAAACTGCCGAAAGCAATTTCAACTAAATCACTTGTGTCCACTTTAAATTTGTAATACTCTAACAACATTAAAAATTAAATAAAACAAGAAAAAGAAACAGGCAAAACAAAAAACAATTTACAACAAATTCATAAAATAAAGAAAAACACATGAAAATGCCAATGAAAAATAAAAATGCAAAAATAAAACTGTTTTTTTTTATTTCTTTCTTTTCTTTTATAAATTAAAATTAAAAGTAAAATAAAAAAAAAAATTTTTTTTTTTTTTTGATACAAAAATTTGTTCTCCGCCACCGTATATAAAATTATGCTACTACAGCTACAACTACTGAATTATACCAGGTAAGCTACTACTGTTGCTGTTGTTTTTATTTTTATTATTTTTTTTATTATTATTTCTGTTTTTTTTTCTTTAATATTATTGAGATTATAATTGCATTATTATTAATATTACATTTGGAAAGAGTTGCCAATCCTGCGATGGGATATACTCATGCAATAACTGTTATACATGTTTGTATATTATATAATATATACTATATCCTTAGTAAAGAAAACCCGATTAGATCAAATTAATTAGTTTGATCTAATGTATGTGTATAGGTGAAAAATCAACAAAAAAAAAAAAACATTTTAATTGCTTGAATATTTGAAAGTGAGTAAACTAATTAAAGTCAAATTCGAATTTCCGGCCCACTTTAGGCATTTAGCATTTAGAATACTTTTGGTTTTTAAATTAAGAAAAAATGTCAGGTGCTTTCGATTGAGAACTTACAATAAAATTCATTTCATGATTGTAATTCGGTATAGAATTGAATTTATTATACAATTTTGTTGATAAATTGACGAAAAATTCGAATAGACCATCTGATATACATAATACGTGCTAAAATGTCTTAATAAATTTTAACACAAATCCTGTCCCAACAGGCTGATCTTACTGTTATTGATCTCCAATAAAAAGCGAAAATAATAAATATCAAAAATAGAAATCATCATAACTAAAAAGAGATAATAACAATTAAAATAATATATATATATATATATATATATATATGAAGAACAATAGAATACAAAAAATGAGAAAAAAAAACAAAAAAATCACTTTAAAAAACAAAAACAACTAAACGACAATATTATTAAATACACAAACAATTCAAACATATTTTAATTACGACAAAACGTATAGATGTCGATAAGAAAAGAAATCACAAAACACCACGTAAAAACAACAAATTAAAAAAAAAAAAAACAAAAAAACAACAAAAAATAAAATAAACACACAACGTTAAAATCGCGAAATTTGCGCTAATTTTCTGCGAATGATTTTTCACCTCTACGGCCAAACGACTAATATTTTTTTTTCTTCATTTTTTTCATGCATAGCGTTATTCATTATTATTATTATTATATTTTTTTTTTATTATTATTTTTCTTTTTTTTTTGTTTGTGGGAAAATAAAACAACCTGCTGAATAAGAGAGTGTGTCGATTCTATGTAAAATGAGTTTTTAGTCCCTTTTAAAAATAAAAAATAATAAAAACGGAAGAAAAAAAAATTAAAAGCGATAAACGCAAACACAACAAAAACAACAGCAACAACAACAACAGAATTAAACAAACTAAAAATTTTCGATATCACATCGTAGTGCTCAAACAGTGTGTGTTTTCTGGTGTGCTTTTTTTGATTTTCTCTTTATTTAAAAAAAACAAATTTAATTTTTTTATTTTTTCACTTTTCTTTTCTTATTTTACAAAATTTCGCGTTTCGCGTTTAAAGCATAAAAATTGAAATAACACTGTAAATTACTAAAAAAAAAATTTGTATGTATACATCTCAAATATGTATGTATATATGTATATAAAATTCGACAAGCCGCCAAACTAAAATAAGTTTATAATAAAAATACAAAACGAAAATAAACAACACACATCCAAAATAAAAGAAACAAACTTTAAACGTAATACGCTATCTATACGTAAAAGTATGTACTAAAATTGATTTATAAAATTATAATATATTGTAGGTATAAAAATGTACCTGGTGTTCCGTTTAAATATTAACTAACACGTAGTACTCTAGATGTTTTTAATTTTTTTTTTTATTATTGTTTTCTTCTCTCATTTTACACAATCCGTCCGTATACACAATATTCAAAATGATATTTAGTAAAATTTTACTCAATACTGAAATTCTACTCAATACGACAGCGACGACGATGGCGACTATGACGACACCAACTATCACAATGACAATGACATTAAAAATGTTTTATTTGACGATGCAAATAGAACAACTTTTATATATTTAGTTTTAAATTTCATTTAAGTTAAGCATATTAAAGAATGCTATCTTATTTAATTAATATTTACATATAGAGAATACAATGAAAAAATGCGCGTGCAATGCTATCATATTCATTCAATTGTAATATTCTTCTCTAAAATTTTAAAATAATATCACTACGGTATTAGCATACTAAATATAAAAAATAAAAAATCATTCCCCTTTTGGCATTTACTTCCTCTTGCCCGTATTCATATATCACCGTTGCATATACAAGTATAAGATGACTTAAACTCTCATCATTTAGAAACAAAATACAACAAAACGCCATAGGAAAAATTAAAAACCAAAATATTTTTTAAATATCTCGCAAACAAGATATGCTTATTCATGCGCATTTAATTAAATAATGAAAATAAGATAAAAAAAAACAAAGAAAAAAAAACAGTAGAATTAAGCAAAAAAGAAAAAAAATCTTAAAAACAATAACAATAATAATAAAAATTTTTGTATAGAACAACAAAAAATTTATACCTGTTCAGGTGCAGAATAGTGATATATGTTACATATTATTATAGAGAGCAAAAGCAGAAAAACAAATAAAAAAAAATAAAAAAAAATATTAAAATATCATCAACAAAAATATCCCCATCAAAATAAATCTTTACAATTTTACATAAGATGAATAGGTCTCTTCTCTTCTTAATTCACAAAACAAATAAAAAATTTAAAAACCAAAAAAAAAACAAAAAATGCACCCGATTTTTCACTCAACTATTTGAAAAAACAAATAAAAGAAAAAAAACAAGAATAAAAATCTAACATATGTAAGTAAAAATGTGTGAAAATATCACTTAGACTCCTAGAAATAAAACCTAATTGTTATACTCTCCAATCAAAGAGGTCTATTAGACCGCAGTCTGTATTCAACCAAAAAAAAAACCGATTTCTTTAAATATTATAGAGTTTCAATGAAATCTAAGAAGATACCATTGTAATACAAAAAACGTTGCTAATGGATTTTGTCCAAGCTCAATTGGAAATGACCAATTAATCCAAAAAGAAACAAATGCGATTTTCATAAAACTCAAAAACTAAAACCAATAGTTTTGAAATTTTTTTCAAATGTTCTATTTTATTATCTAAAATGTAGATAAAATTTCAATACAACCACATACATAAATGTGGTGTATTATACATTATACATACATTATAGTTATGTAATCAAATATTTATGTATATATACAAATTTATATAAACAAAAATTATAACTGTATAAAATGTGGGATTCAAAATTTTAAATGAATGATGGGTTTTCATCAAAGAAAATGCTATTCTTCTATTCAGTTCTCTAGATATTTTCAACGAAAGTTCATTTAATTCTGTTGAACTGTATATTATGAAGATATGAACATCTTGATAACTGAATTTATGATATATGATATATAAATAATATATACCAGGTGTATAAAAATTAATATATGTTAACATTTGCAGTAGATTCACAAATAAAAATATATAAGAGAGAAAAATATATAAAATGTACAAGTATACGGTATTCAATAATTGATCTTTAATTGATCTTGAAAATTTTAATAATTCGAGAGATATATATATATATCATGTATGTATATACAATAAATGTTTTCAAAAAATTTATAACATTTTATCACTGAAAGTCTTATTCGTATTTTCTCTTAAAATGAGGTTTACTTTTTAGAGTGTTAACTGGCAAAAAATTTTTTTTGGATGCGTCTCTTTCCCCACCAATGACATACGGATTCTTTCAAAAAATTTTTTCATATATATATATGA